AATGGATCAAGGAATTATAAGAAGCCTTAAATCTCACTTCAGAAAAATTCNAAATGGAAAATAATTATATCATTTGATTTCAAGATATTTTGTATACCTTAAAAATAATTAATTCTATCCCGGGATTTCCCGGGATCCCGGGAAACAGTTCACTTTTATCCCGGGATCCCAGGACAAGCAAAATACCGGGAAATGAGAAACCCTAGTGTTCAAAGTATGATGTCATAAATACAGCCAATAAAGATTATCTCATTTTTAAGAAAAAGTTACCTGAGAATCCTACGATACATATCATATCTAATGAACAGTATTTTGATATATTGATGGCGATTCATAAATCCTGTGGACATGGTGGTCATGACAAAATGGTATATGCTGTTAAAAACAGATTTTAAATACAAAAGAAACAATTGAAATATTTGTTGCTTTATGTCTTACTTGCAAAACCAAACAAATCTAAGAGAAGTATTGTGATCCAATCAATAATTTCTAACAATTTTATGGAAATGGAGAAATTGATTTAATTGATTTACAGTCATTACCAAAATAGAAAGTATATATGACTGTTAAACTATCAAAGTAATGCTACTAAATACTTATATCTTAGACCACTTCAAAGTGGGAAGTAGCTGTAATACTGTTAAATTTTTTCAATTTGGAACTCCATATATGCTAGAGTGACAATAACTGGGAGTTCACTGTAAAAATCCTCAAAAAATTTGTAAACATGTGGCCAGAATATAAAATTATGCATGGCAGTCCTCAACATCCACAAACAAAGCCAGTATGTCAAAAATATGTTTCAATCTTGGATGCACAGCAAAAATTCAACAAAATAATTAATTGGGTGCTATTTTGTGCAATATCAAAAAAATGCATCATATCATCAAGTCATTGGCAAATCACCTTATTGAGCCTTAATTAGTAGTTTACAAAGTTCTGATATTCCTGATATTATTCTTTCATCTATTGAAATTGATCAGGAGCTAAAAAACCTGCCAACAATAATCAAAAAGTCATAAAGAACATAGAAAACATTCAATATGATATTTCACAGCAAGCATCATACAGTTCTGATAATTTGATTAGTGAAAATACCTTTTCTAATACAGTAACAATAGAAAATAATGAAAATTTATCACCTGACTTAACCTGTCCAGTCTGTCAAAATGAAACCAGTGGAGCCTATCAGAGCAGTTCCTGCTTTAAACCTGTTTGTGCTATTTGCAGATCATCTGAAGGCAATGAAGGTTATGTATAAATGATGATCTGTTTTATATGCAAAAGCAAGCATAATATACAAAATAAAAAAGAAGTGTGCGAAGCACTTCAGAGAACATGGTTAATGACACCACTAATAAAATTTCCTTATTACACATTGCAAAAGTATTTTTCTTGGTGTACCAAATAAATCATGGTCCTTTAGGTACCAAAAATATTATAGGAAAAATATTTGACTTCAGAAATGGAGCTTACAAGGTAGAGACAAAATTCAGAATAATTAAAAATTGGTTCTGTCATTATGAATTACAAGAGTCGTCAAATGATTATGATGGCGTAATACTAGAAAGATCAATAAACTCTAAAGTTTGGCTTTTTTTTAGTAATTTCAATCACACAGGGTTACATTAATTGAATATGCAGACTTTATTATTGTATTCGGAAATGCATTTCGGATTCTATTAACTCCTCTTCAGTCCTTTTTTACAGATAGTATTCAATTATTTAACACACTGTTATTAAACCTAGGCAATTAAACTGGATATATTAAAAAACCTGTATATGGATAAAAGTACAATTGATAAAAAACTTATATAAAATTGGATTTTTTCAAATTAAACCCAATTTTATATCAGTTTATTTATTCTACTTATTTAAATTTTTAAATCTTATCAATTGTGCAAAAACTCAATGTGACACTAATATGTGCACATGTTTTAAAAAAGTTCTTTTGCAGATCTAAATGTCAGTCTAGTTTATCTTGCATTAATAAATAATAAATCTATTTGATATGTTTAGTATTATTTTGTAACTGTTGAAAAAATTTAGTGTTTTCTCATTTTTATAATTTAATTTTGTACTGTTTAGTACATTGATGTACAAAACTTAAGCAACAATGTAATTTTTAAGCAGACAGCCATGCAACTGGGCTTTTTGTGATCAGTACAATAAACACCCAGTTCAGTAGAAAGGTGATTTTTATGCAAATATAGGAAAAAGACATCACAAGTGATGTGAGGACACAAAAAAACACATGCAGTCAGTGTGCACAGTGCAAGACTACAATAAAAAGGACAAAAGGCACTATTAAAAACATTTGCTACAAATTCAAGTGAGTTTGTATGTGCAAGATTACTAGAAGAAACCATCAGGATGATTTTATGTGGTAGAATGATCAGTAAGCTTGAGAGGAATGTAGTATGATAATTGTAGCCCAAGAGTTTGGAATCAACAAAAGTGTCATTTCAGGAGCTTGGAGAGCCTTCCAAATCACAGATACAGCTGTAAGTTGTATCTGTGGTTTGGAAGGCTGGTGTGGTGGTCATGAAGAAAAACAATGCCAATGGATGGCTGATATATCATACTGTAAGTGAAAAGAGATCAATATCAGTCAGCAGGCAACATTGCTCAGCAGCTGCATATGGCAACAGGACAAAAAGTGTCACCATTTAATGTGACCAGATGCCTTCATAAAGGTGGCCTATTCGCCTTCCATCCTGAACACTGCATCCATTGACAGCTGCCCATCGGCAGGACCTTTAGACTGGTGTAAGGAACATAAAGACTGGACATCTCATCAATGGAGTCACTTCTTTACAGATGAGAGTCATTTTAGTATCAAAAGCGATTCTCAATGCCAGTTGATACGTCCTAGTAGACATTTATATATTAAATTGTATAATAAAGACACAAAGGCATATGAATCAATGCAATTTTCATTTATTATGCTGTATTTATTTATATTGTTCATTGTTTTCATGTTTTAATATAATATTAGGAAATTTAATTGTGTTATTTTTACCTTAAATTATATGTATTTGCTGTTTTAAGTTTATTGAAATGGATATTGTTTAAGGTCTGGGAGTAGATTATGGAATGTTATTTCTAATGGAAAAAAAATAATTCAGACTAAATGATTTGACTGATCTCATGGAATGAATTAAACTGAATTATATTTGAAGTATAAGGCATCACTGTATGTATATATGTTGCAGCCAGATTGTAAATTTAGCTGCTTTATAAAGCATCTAGCCATTTTACAATGAAGCTAATTAATGTTTAGCCGGATTGTCATAACATTGCCTTTTGCAATGCTGCTGGCTACATTTAGCCATATTTGTAAAGTGGCAGAAATTGCAGCCTCTTTACTAAAATGTGAATTATACACTAGGATTAGAGACAAAAATGTTAGGAAGTAGATAAAAAAACATACATTGTATAATCAAACTTATCTAAATATTAGTCATGTAACGAATATTCGGTTACTATTCGGTATTTGGCCTATTCGGCCTATTTTTCACTATTCGGCCGAATACCGAATACCTAAAAACAGGAGTAATAAATAACAAAAACACAATAAATTAATCATTGTGGTATTTAGATTTAATGTTATCGAGTTAGTGTTGTTTGTTTATATTTATTTATAACTTATAACATGCACAAAATAAAAAAGAAAATAATATTAGTCACATGTATTCACAATTTATAATTACAAAAATCAGCACACGTACACACCTATTCGTTCGAGAATCGTCGCACATCTGAGGGTCTGACCCTGCCTATCCTTCTTTCTAAGCACTCGTCTTTGCTCTTCCCTTTCTCTTACCTCTATCGCTCTAATCCATGTACGCCTGTGCATACATCATAATACGCGCTCACAATACTTTCGATTCGTCACTTTTTCATCGTAGAGTTCCCATTTTACAATTACGTGACTCAGCCTGGTGATAACGGAGAAAAGAGACAGATAGGACGTCGGTATAAGTCACAGTTATGATTTCACAGATTCGAGACAGCTTGGTAGCCCGAACGGCCCCAGGCTTTCGCCCGTGCACGCTAAGTGACTTTCATTACAAGCATTTAGCTTTCCGAAGTCTATGACGACAATTGTTTGGTATTGACGGGCGCGAATTTCGTGCCAATAAGCTGCCTCGACTTGTTCGATTATGTTATCAACTCAATTTCATATTTATTTTCACATTTTCACTTCGCGGTCCTTCTCTGTTCTTTTTCCGTTATTTACACGTGTAGGTCATTTCATTGTTATCCACATTTGATATCATCACTTATCACATACCGCCAAGACGCTCATGTCTGTCCGCTTCAACTGTCAAGAATTAACACGATTGGCAAAGCGTAGTGACAGCAGGCCAATAGAGAGCAGGATCCTTGCCATAATGCGGTTTGCGCGCCAATTTTCGTACGTACGTTAATCAAGCCAAATAGTTTGGCCGAATATTCGGTATTCGGCCTGAGGCCGAATATACTATTCGTTACAACACTACTAAATATATAAAATTACTTGTTCTGACTGACTAACTGATTCATCATCACCCAGAGCAAACCGCTGAACCTAAAGAGGTGAAATTTGGTACACGGGGTATGTCATGAAAATGCACACTAAGAAGGGATTTTTCAAAATTCCCCCGCGTGGGGGAGAGGGAGAGCATTAATTAATTATTTTAACCTTAAGCCCCAAACCAGAGATATCTCGGGCAAGTTACATAGCTTTACATAAAACGCGGTCCTTAAGGGTAGTTTTGAAATTTTTTTTTTTTTTTGAATTTTTGAANACATAAAATCAACATAATATAATAATAGTAATTAAAGATTATGTCAAAAATATATAAATCAGATGAATCATTGAAATATTTTTCTACCAAATGTGTTAATTAATAGGTGAACATATGAAGTTTGTTACTATAAATTAATTTCATTTAAAATTAATTTTTAGTCTACAGTTATCTAGAAATATATCAATAAAATTTTTATAAGCTTACTGTTAATCCAAAGACACTTGTTGATCCAGCCACTCTGTAAAACATTGCATCTGACCCTTTGGAATGAACATGCAACATAGCATTTAAACAAGCAAGAGAAGCTGGCCCACTAAAAAATATATAAATATATATTTTACGTAAGATATAAGAAAATATATACTTTATACTTATTATGTATTTTATAATGCATATACAGTGTCTTCCAAAAAGAAAATTACAGTTATTTAAAATTGTAGCAATGTTAATTGGGCCCAGTTATGCAAAAAGCTACCAGGTTTATTTGTTTATGGCAATGTGATATCTGGGCAATCTGCTAAGAGGGGATGTCTCCTTCAAAGAGAGTGAGTGATTCCCAAATGGGGATACATGTACTCCCAGGGGTATGTGCTTGGTAGTTTAGGAGTATGAAAAAAAAATTATTATATTGGATGTACTATAAGAATATTTGAATGCTGTGTTGAGGCCTTTGGCAACTTGCCAAAGGCCTCAACACAGCAAATTTGATGCTTAGTTTTAAATAAAAGATATAATTAAATTTTTATTATATTTATCTGTGTCCTTCCTTCAACATTTCGATTAAAAAACTTTTTACATGTTTTGTCCATGTAAACACATCAATATAATTAAACAAACGGATAGAATAAATAATAATATGGGAAGGGAGATCCACCAATCATGGAGAAGTATTATAGAAGGGGGAGGGAGGGAGACATATAAAAGAAGAGATCAGAATGAATTGGAGTGTAGATTAAGTGAAAGAGAACAATCTAAGATGTAAGTTGTTAATGTAAGTTTTAAAGAAAATAAATTTATAAATTTAATCTGATTAATTATGATGTATAAAAAATATGAATACGTATGAAATTATAAGGTTAATATAAATTACGAATATATTTGGAATTATGAAGGAGTTCGAAAATATTGAATTTGTAAAAATTTTGTTATTTTATTGTTGGGGAAATATTTTTATGTTTATTTTAATTTTTGTAATTGTAAAAAGAAATTTTTTAATTTGTTAATTGCAGAAAGTGTCTTTTGAATGCCTGCTGATGAGGGACAAACAAGTCCGAAACACAAGTTTAAAGGACTTCCAACCACTTAACGCTGCGTTGAATAATAACAATCCACGAAAAACCTTTGGAATTTAATAGTGACATAACACTCGTAAAAAAAAAGTTTTTCGTGGATTGTTACAAGTTTAAAGTGTATGTGTACAGATGAACTAAATAAAAAAATATTATTTCTAATCTGTAAGACTAAATTTCTGCATCCATAAATCCAGTATAAGTCCTGTTAATTAATTGATAAAGTACTAGTATATAAGATAAATATTAAATTAAGATATAGGCATAATAATAATAGGCCCAAAGGCATAATAATTGTGATTTACTCAGTTTAAATATGTTGAGGGTTGGTAGCCTTTTGCATAACTGGATCCAATTATCACCTGAAAAATATGCAATGTACCCCAATTGATAGAGTAAAAGTCCAAATATCATCTACCATCTGCACACAAACATCTTTTCGTCTATTGCTTCTAGGAATCACCATAAACTAAAATGACTTCTGCAACAGAGAAAGTATTTCATGATATAAGTTTGCAAAGTCAGAATCAGTCATCATTGTGCAATATGATTTTCATTGATTTTTTTGAGTTTCACAGACAATTTCAAAGTGATCCATCAAACAAGTCTTACTGCAAAATGATAACTATGCAGACTATTAAACACAAAATATCTTCTCTGTTACAGAGTTGCCATTTTTGTTTACAGCATTTCCTAGAGGCAGTAGACAAAAAAAAAAATGTTTGAAAGCAGATGATAGATGAAACTGGAACAGTTACTCTATTGATTGCTGTACAACATATACTTCTCAGGTAATAATTAATATAATTACAGTAATTTAAATGGTAGCATTCTTTCTGGAAGACCCTATATATTAAATAATAAAAATATGAAAAAGAACTTTATACTAGGAGTCACACTGCATAAACCAAAATTGCTACTTGACAATATTTTTATTATTAAAATGCCAATAAAAATATAATGCTGGCATAAAAACATTAGTCTGCTTATTTTGACATTAAGCATAAAATTGAATCACAATGCATGCTTCAGGAAAAACAGCAGAATGTATAGCTCCTGTATGATGAGAGGCCCTTGCACCACACACCTAGCAATGTCATGACATCATATGGCAAGTTTGGACAGAAAAGAAGGAAGTAATGTTGAGAACCAAAGGCAGTTTTCATGCAATATCATCCAGCATTTCTAGCTTGTGGATTTTTGGAGGGGTGACGACTTATTTCCACTTTGATCTCATTTTAGTAACTAATGCATAAAAATTTTGATATGACAGATTTTGTGAAATATGTTTAAGCATTGTGATGAAATGTGTTATTTGGAATTATTCATTAAAAAATTATTCAAAAATGATTCCTATTTCTATATGACAGCTTAACATATTCTTACTTTTGCTTTCCAGACTCCAAACTGATAAGTGATAAGGCTACAAGTGCCTACATTAATTAGTAAGCAAAACTAGTGGCAATAAATAATTTGAAGTGACAAAAAAAAATTTAAACTGGTGGCAATTTTTTAAATTTTCCAGAGAAATCCCTGTTTATATATATATATATAAAGTACATAAGATAAATATAACAATATTTTAAGAATTTAAGAAAATGTCTCAAAAGTAAAGTAATATATATAAATTAATGTACAATTTTTAGACTGAATTGACAAAAATTATTGTAAGTAATCCAGAAATACAAGAGTACAAAAGGATAAATTTCAGTTCATTCATTTTCAAGTAACACAAACTGCATATCCTCACTGTTGCTACCAAGTAATATACATTTTAAATATGTTATATTTATATCCTGGCAATATTTATTATACAGTGGGTGATCGGTTAATAACAGTTCGGACTGTGAAGAAATTGGACAACGAACACTTTCGTGAAAGATTTTTATGTTCAGACAACAAACACCTGAACCAACACAAGAAGCAATATAAAATAATGAATACCAATTGGTCTCCCTTGTCTCCGAGTGACAATTCAAAACCTTTCAGATCATGGGAGATGTCGACATCGACGCTCAACCTGATACCGATCGAATAGTAATCCTCTGAACTTTGAAACTCCAGCCTTTTGTTTACTTTTCTGATAGAAAGAACTTTTTATAGACTTTGAAGGACTGTTGGGCACTTGTTAAGTTTTGCATTGGTTTTTATTTTCGAAAAGTGAGAGTTTAACATCCCATCAGATATTCACCAAATTTTTACACCATTTTTACACCGTTTTACACCAAATTCCGAATTTAATTCAGGCTCATATTTACATAATTTTTTGCGCGTTTTTTTGTGAATAATAGTTGATTTCTGTTCCCTGAACTTTTGTCAGTGCTTTTCTAAACTTTTTATTTAAAAAAGAAACTTATAATATTATGGAGTCTAAAAAAACAGTTTGTCAATAACTCAGAAACCAAGCAAGTGATAATAGCCAAGGTAGAGAGTGGACAGAAAAAAGATGTCTGATGTTGTCAGGCAGTGTGGCTTGAACAGCTCTACAGTAGGCACAATCTTAGCTAAGAAAAAATAATCGCAAAGACTCAAGCAGCTAAAGGTGTAATGAAAATCGCATCTGAGAAACAAAGATGTACCATCCATGAAAAAATGGATAGATTGCTTTAATTTAGATAATAGAAAGGGAAATGAAAAGCAATGTAACTAGTATGACTTTCATTTAAAAGCTAGAGAAATTTTTTGATAATTGAAGAAATAAATTCCACATTCGTCATATGAGGAGATACAATTCAAGGTGTTTTGAAGCATGCCGGTTCTCCTCAACAATGACATTAAAACGTTTTGGAAAGAAAAATTTGATATTCTTGAAGCTGTCTGACTTGGTCAAAAGACGTGGTCAGAAGTCATTCAATGACAGTTGAATTCTGATTGGCAAAAGTTCCTTCCTGCATTCAGGGAGACGGAAATGATGTCCCTGAAATTATGGATGAAAGTGTGACAACTGCTAGAGATTTTGAACTGGAGGTGAATGAAGATGACATTGAAGAGCTCATAATGGAACCTGAAACTGATCTGATGTCACAAGAACCCCAAGAACTCTTGAATGAAGTACCAAGAATCTCAGCAAGATGTGTTTTCTTATGAAAAAGCAAAAGACAAAAGAGGACCAATGCTAACATCTGCTATTAAAGATCTTTTGAAGAAGTGAGATGATGTCAGAATAATGGTCTTAGAATGGCATTCAAACTAGGTTGAGGTTAATAGGCTTGGAGATCTCTACAATGATAATACTATTAATTACTTCTGAAAATTACTGAAGAGAGAGAAGCAATCGACATTAAACAGATTCTTTGACCTTCACAAACAGAAAAAACATGACTGATAAAAATGCAAGACTGTGTATATATGTATTTTTATTATTACATATAAATAAACACAATAAGAAAGTATATAAATTTTTATTTATTTTTGGGGTCTCTAGAACGAATTAATCAAATTCCCATAAAAATCTATGGTAAATCAATAATCAGTTAACAAACAGTTCAGGTAGCAAACACAGTCTTGGAATGAATTATGGTCATTAACCGATCACCCACTGTAGTCTTTCCAAATAATCATCACATAAATAACCTTTGCTTTATTGCAGTAGCACATTACAAACGACAAATGTTTTCAAACAGCTTGACTGCCCTGCTTTAGATCAGTTACATACATGTTCCATTTAGAATGCTCTTTTTCTAGTTTTCTACATTCAAACTGAATTCAAAATTTAAATTATTTTTGAAATTTACACAATTTAAAATTACCAAATTAAACTTTAAAACAAATATATTCTACATGATTTTATTTTAATACCCCATCATTCAATTGAGTTATTATAATAAACTTTTTTCTTTGGATTATCATAAAATGCTTTCCAATCATTTGATAATGCATCTGTCTCTCTTATATTAATGCACTCTTTCTCCAATGATGTTTTAAATATCTTTAATAACTCAAAAATTTAGTTTCTTCTTTATTAAAACACTTCTTAATCAATGCTGCTTGGTCTAGTTTAGCTTTAATTCCAGGTTCCAAGGCTTATATAAAAAATGTTGTTTGTTTCCCTTTTTTCAATATCTAAATCTGTGTTTTTTAATCCTGAAGTTAAGAAANCGGCGGAAAGTATATATATAATTATAATAAAGTTACAATAAATTAAGTTAATATATAATTATATGTACAGTACCTAATTTATATATAATTTTTATATAATACTGTACAGACGATTGTAAACTCAATTTACCCGCCTAAATTCTCCGTAGCGTGGCGCTGGATGGCGGAAAGTAGTTCGCCTGCCCGATGACGTTTTACCAAATTATAGGAGTTTTTTTTTACCAGGTTTGTACGAATACCGTCAAATTTTTACACTGTCTTATAGGAATCGTAATTATAGGAACCCGTGTTATAGGGGGGTCTACTGTAGATGATACCTGGATTCACAACTACCCAAAACAAAAATTCAATCAAAACAGTGGATTGGAGAGGGCGAGCAGGTTCCAAAGAAGGTGAACACTATTCATTCAGTTGGCAAAATGACGGCATCAGATTTTTGGAATTTTGTTAAGTGATTATATTGTTACTAGCCAATACTATGAAACATTTTTGGAAAACTCAAAGCAGCAATCCAAGAAAAAGTACTGCTTTACTACAATAATGAGTCTGCTCATTCAAGTGCAGTTGTTCAACAAAAACCAGCAGACATTAAGTTTGAAATCCTTCTGCATCCATCATATTTGTCAGATTTGGCTCCCTCAGATTTCTACCTATTCTGAAACTCAAAACATTCCTAGCTGGAAAGAGATTTTGGTCCAATGAAGAGATACTCAAGGCCATAAACAGCTATTTTGAGGAATCAGATAAAATCTTATAGGAGGGAATCAAAAAGCTTGAGAAATGTTGAATCAACTACATTAAGATTTGAGGGAATTGTATTGAAAAATAAAGCATCACTTGGTAATCATTTATCTTGTTTTCATTGTCATTCCAAAAACTTTTCAATCCACCCTTGTATAGGTGCTGAGCAGCACCATAACACTTCTTACATATATTACTAAAAGTACGCAAAATGCAAAAACTCTGTATTGATATAGTAGTAGGGATGCTGCATTAAAAAATTACCAAGTTGAGATACCACTGTTAGAAAAAGGATAGAAAAATACTGTTAATACTATAAATAAGTTTAAATCAGGGGTTATGAACCTCTAGCCCCAAAGAATAGTTATCCAGCCTGTTTAGCTTGTTTTAACCAACATATTTAAAGTAGAGAGTTTGTTAAATTTTTAGAAATCTCTGCCAGAAGAGAAGGTTTCAAGAAGTTTGCATGGGAATATTTCATCGTTTTGCTTCTGCTTATTTTTTTGACCTTATCAAGTGACATTACAATTTTGAATGCTAGATTGAATTGAAGCTAGATTGGAAATCTGACATAGGCTGATGAAATATGCCAAAAACATTTGTGTTCTTAATAAATGTGTTTGCTGAAAATACAAGGTTGGTGGGTTGGTGGATGGTATTAAAATTTTCAGATTAAATATTGCTTAAGTATATACAGTAGAGCGTCGATTTTCCGAATCAATTGGGGACTGGGGTTGTCCGGATAACTGATATTTCGGATAACTGATTTACGTATGAAAAAATAGTTTAACGTATCCGATGTCGAAATTTTTATCCGTTGCATGTTGCTTNCAGCTTTTGTTTGCACTAATATGACTGGTACAGACAGAAGAAAACTTCTTGTAATAGCAAAAGATAGGATAACAGCTTTTGTTTGCACTAATATGACTGGTACAGACAGAAGAAAACTTCTTGTAATAGGAAAATCAAAGAATTCAAGATGTTTTAAAAACATAAAAACACTACCAGTAAATTACAAAGCCAACAAAAAGTCATGTATGACGTCTGAGATTTTTTAAGAAGAAATTCGAAAATGGAATAGAGAACTTATTGGTAAACAAAAAAAAAAGTTTTACTCCTTGCCAATAATTGCCCAGCACATCCAATTTTAGAAAATTTAAAGAACATCAACCTTGTATTCCTTCCTCCGAATTGTACTAGCGTACTTCAACCAATGGATCAAGGAATTATAACAAGCCTTAAATCTCATTTCAGAAAAATTATTTTTCAAAAAATTATAACAAATATGGGAGATAAAAATAAAATGGCAATTTCTTTATTAGATGCAGTTGATTTTTTGGAAAAATCTTGGTGTAAGGTTAGTTCGCTAATAATAGCAAACTGTTTTCGCCATGCAAAATCGTGTAATAATCAAACAGCTATTACATTTACGAAAGATGACAATAATGAGGATAATGACATTCCTCTATCAGAATTAGTTAAAACATTTCAGAGTTCAGAAAACAGCGAATTTTTGTCATCTGCTGCTACTAAATATAAGAGTGTAGATGAAAATTTAATAACATCTGAATTTTATACAGATGCAGATATTATTGAGCAAATTGAATGTTCAGACGAAAAAAATGTGAATGATGATGATGATGATGATGATGATAATGAAAAAGATGAAACATCAAACAGAGAAACTGCAGTGCCATCAACCAGGGAAGTGAGTAATGCAATAAGGTTATTGAAAATGTTTTACAGGTCTCATAAAACTTCATCAGAAATAATGAACAAAATCTAAGACTTAGAAAATGACATTGATAAACAATTTTTAGGTGAAAAACGCCTACAATCTAAAATAACTGACTTTTTTTAAGTGAATATTTTTATTGTTTCTTTTTAATTGGTATACATTAATTTAACCTAAAAGTGAAAGATATTGGACTTCATGATTGATAGATAAGCAAGAAACGAGAAAATTATCATCCAGACGTTAATAGCACCTGGATGATAATTTTCTCGTTTCTTGCTTAATTTAACTTTTTGTTGCCTTTTGATTACATTATTCTCAAAACTGAAAGTGCCACCATTATCGAAACTTCAAGACAAATAAAAATTTCTTATAAAAGGTAATTTTTGAAATTTTTAATTACATTGTTGTAAATTTAGACATAATAATGTAAATCAAGTTAATTTAAACATTTAGTTTGCACTTTTATACATATGATATTAAATTAAATGAATTTTATAACAGATTCTTAAACACACTTGATACTTTTATGGGACTGAAATTATGACCTTGCAGATAACAACACTCGGTTATAACATCAAAAAATTGCCAGTCCCATGGATGACGTTATAAGCAGGTTAAACCATGTTTTCTATTTAAAGGATAAAGAAAGCATACTAGCTCAAAAATAAATAGAACACATACAGTACGGAATCAAACAATCAAAAAATCAAATCAAAAAAAGCTTTATTAAAAGAGTAGCATTGGTACAAATTATTGTCTGTCCAAGAGGGAGAACAACAAATAGATGTCCCTTAGTAAAGAACATCTATTTGTTTGATCTCCCTTAACTGCAATGGTTGCTTGACGCAGTCTCTCCATACTCAAAATCAGATTATTATTAAACAGTTGTTGAGGTAAGAGTGCCCATTCCTCAATGAGCATATGTTTCAGTTGTTGGGTGTTCTCCAGCAAATATAATCATGCCAAAAGGTGTCTCCCCAAAGCATCCCACATGTGTTCTATGGGATTTAAATCAGGGGAGTATGCTGGCCAATCCATTCTAGTGATTTCTTCTAGAAGCTTCTCAACAGTACAAGTCTGATGTGTCCTGAGTTATCATCCATAAAAATGAAGTCTGCACCAAAGGCACCTCGGAACAGATGCATATGGGGATGAATCACTTGCTGACAATAGTAATCTCCAGTAACAGAAAATTTGGAGCTCAGTCTGCCCATTCATCATAATGCCTCCCCAAATGAACACACCAGGACCACCATAATGGTCTCTTTCTATGATGTTAGTGAGATAAAACCTACCTCTCTCTATATCAACTGGCATTGAGAATCACTTGTGATACTCAAATGACTCTCATCTGTAAAGATACGACTCCACTAATGAGATGTCCAGTCTTTGTGTTCTTGTTTTCTATAACAGGAAATAACAGAAGAAAAAGTAGTAGTATATTTGTGAAACTCTGGAAGTGGTCAAAATTCATGCACAAAAATTTTTTTTAAATTTTGTATAAAAAAAATTTTAATAATAATAATAATTAAATGTTGTAAAAAGAAACCGTCAAATAAGAAAAAAAAAGAGAAAACAAAAAATGAATATTTTATGTCCATAAAATGACATCTGTAGAAATTTCCAAGAAAGATGAACTTCACAAGTTAAAACAATAGATGAATTTAAGTCCTAAGATCAAACATCTTCGATAGGGGTCAAATTGTCAGTCAGTCTGGGTTCTGATCTTGTTACGTTTCATAACGAGTGAAAACCAATTGGAAAGCAGCGGTAAGTCAACATTGACCTATTGAAATTTTTGATCCAGGACCAAAAACAACTTATAAAAATCATGCAAAATCAAGGACGTGACACTCTCGGTTCTCTGTTCTTGGTTCGTAGTCTTCCCATCTTGGACATGTGTGCTTCCATAGAAATAGGAAAGAAATTTTCAAATATCGTAAAAACAAACCTCCTTTAGTGCGTCATCCTGTGCCACCCAAGTCTATAGGATCAGAATCGCTTGAAGTTATACCAAGTGCTCCAGGGCCTATGATTGCTTCGCTGTCTCCACAGAAAGGAAGGAAAAGAAAACTTGAACATTTGAACTTTATTTGGACTTAATCCTTGATTTCTGTGCGATGATACTCTGTTGTTCAAGGAAATTTTGTAAGAAATTCTTATTTTTATTAAATGGTGTAATGATGAGGAACCTGTCTCTGAGAGTTTTTTCCACTCCCACACGATAGTCGTGACCACGCGACAATCCTGATTAATGCAATCAGTTGGCTAACCTCACATATTAATTTGATTGCAATTGTAGACAAACTAAAACATATATAGGAGAAATGAAAAGAAATTTCCTTTATACAAATTAAAAATGCATATAAAGGAACATATTTAAGTCCATTAAAGGCAATTATGCAAATTCAACTGTAGCAGAACACTGCAATAAAGAAAGATGCAAAATAGATTTAAATACTGTTAAAATAAAGAAAAAAGAAAGTAATAATTTTAAAAGATAACTATATGAACATATTTACATAACAAGACAAAACAATAGAATCAATAATAACTTGGGAAGCGAAATCCACCAATCGTGTAACAGTATCATCGACAGGGGGAGCAACAGATGGAGAGATTTATAAAGGAAACGAATTTGGTGACATGATAATGGTACAAGCAAAGGAAAGATAAGATTATGTTTGTTGTTTGAAAATATGATACAAATTTTTATGTTGATCTTTTTAAATTCTGATCCACCAAAAACTCACCTAGTGGTTGTAAACCCGCAGATGATGGACCAAGAAGTCCAAAACACAAACATAGTGTGTACAGGTGAAACGGGTGAACAATAAAGATTGTTTTTTCTGAATAAGTTTCCTCAATTTGCAGAACCTGGACACCAGTACAATAATTCCTACTAATATGATATGTCCTAGTAGACATTTATATATTAAACTGAAAATTGCATTAACTGGTTGATACCATCAACTTCAGTATCATAAACATGGCTGCCAGATCTGTCATGTGTAGTGCTTTCATGTTTTACAATAACTTCCTTTTTCACCTCAATTGCTGATATTATAGCCTTCCTCTTAGGCTTCATTGCTTCCATACACTTTTTCTATGCCATCATTAATAAGTAAAGGTTACTTTGGGATGAATAGAAAGGTTTTGTATATTTTAACAGCTGTAGTTATTTAACATAGATGTGTAATTAAATTATAACAGTTCTGCAATTTAACATTATTGCTAATGTGAGATTGCAGAATAGCATATCAAGATTATTATGCTTTACAATTTTTGGAAAGGATATAATGTCATATAAGCAGTAAAAGAAATTTATAATGTGTATGGGAAAGATGCTCCTAAACTTTGAACATGGTTTAAAAAGTTCCAATCTGAAAATTTGAGCTAAAGGATTCAAAAAAGTATGGGAGAGCCAAAAGCAGTCAACAAAGAAAAATTGAAGAAAAATTGTTAAAATTGACAAATAGCATGCAATATATATAATCAAACACACCAAAAATAAAGCAAAAGAAAAAGCCCTGTAAATATACAAGCATAATATGAGAATGAGAGTAAGAGACAACTTAGGCACACAGCAAATTATGTTACATCTTTAATGCAGTTTTTCATTGGTGCACAGTTCAAACTCTAAGTTAAACTTCTGTCAAAATTCGTGTTCAAACTCTGAAGCATTCAAAGTACAAAGTACCACTGTATATATGTGGCCCTTAGTTAATATGCTTCTAGATAACACAATAAATTGTATTTAAAATGAAACTAAGTAAGACAAATTTTATACAACAAGGCATTTCTTCAGTATGATATAATTCTAAAAAAGTCATTAGCAGGTGTTACATGAACAGTAACTTAACTTTATCCTCATACTGTGGTTTCCAAGCTTATGTTGATCCATCTTGAATTAGTTATCATAACATAGAGCACAGAAATCCAATACACTCCTTTCCATAATGACTCAGGTGATGGAGAGAAAAATCCATTTGCAGCCTTCTTGATCATCAGAAAGCTTTATCAGAATCTAATGGGAGAACACTTTTAAAAACCCTAATCTTTTGAAATAATTATTGTTAACTGACTTAATCCTTCATTATCATTATCTTGAGTGGCAAATGCATAATAATGATCCTATAAAATCTGTGAAACCAGGTTGAAAGTAAAGCTCATTGCATCTAATTAAAGAAAACCTCTGTAAGTTATGGCATAAAAATACTGCAACCAGATCTGATAGTAAGACTCAACATGTGAATAAAGCGCACATTACACAGACTACAATTACATGAAGTTTTGGATGAGAGGAAGAGGGTTAAATGTGTTAGACTAGTCACTCGATGTAAAGTGATAAACACCTACATAAGATAACCTTTGTGAATATAAATCAAATACTATAATATAATATAATAGAAGGGTTAGAAGTACAAAATAATCTAATAATCTTAATCTTTGCTGTTATTTTTTGCCAGAGTAATGCTGGGCTCATCTGCTAGTACTCAATATTTTAAAATAAAACTTCAAAAGGACAAATAGAAGGCAATCAGCTCTTAAACAAGCTATTAAACATATATAGAATCCTTCTAGATTGTTTGGTAACTTATTGTCATCATTCTCTCTCATAAATCTAGGCAAAAAGATGCCAATAGCCAGGGTTATCATTTTGTGTGCACAGTAGTAGGTTTCTTTTTTAATCATTGTGCACGTGATGATACCATCGAGAAGCATGCGAGCTTTCCACATACTGTGGTGATCTTTGTTCATTTACTTTCAAAATTAAGCTTTGGTGGGTGTTTGGAAGACAAGTATAGTAGTAGGGTTTGCGTCCCGGGACGTCTTGTGTCTCGAAGTCCCGAACTTTTTCTAAATTTAATTGTCTCGGGTCCCGGGACATTTGGGTCAAGACTCGAGACACGCTTATCGAAATTGTATTTTCTAAATTTTATTTTCAAAAGGTTAGCCGAGCGACGCTTCTTTTGTTCACCCTCCTGTTTACAAATAAACAACACAGGTGGAGGTAATTTACAAGGCCGTGTGACTTTTAATCTTACTCTGTTAAATGTTTGTTAAAATTTTTGAACACTGATCACCACAGCTCACAGTCGCAAAATACGGACTTTTTTTACTTTGAATTTGAATAAAATTGCACTTATTGCTTTTGCGGAAGATCTGCATTATAGACTT